GGGAGACGTGCACTCCTGGCAGCCCCCTCAGACAGCTCTGGCCCCCTCCACTCCCCTGAGAGGGCTCAGCTGTGGCCAGACAGGGCCCCCAGCTCAACCTAGACCTAGGAGAGGAGGCCTCAGCCCCCCCAGCCCCCCTGCTGCCACGGCTCAGCCCTGCCCCGGAGGGGCTCCCGGCAGCCGCGGATCCACACCACCCCAATAATTCATGGCGCTCCCATGGCTGCGCCGATGCTGGGCCCAGCTCTGGGCTCTGGCAGCAGGGCCGGGAGGGGCAGGGGGCCCTTCTCCAGCGAGGTGGGGAGCAGGATCTCCCCCCACCCAAGCCCCCTCCATCCTCGCTGCGCAGGGCAGAGATTGGGGGTGCCCTGCTACACCCAGACAGGACACTCCTCCAGGGCCCAGCCCCAGACGCCGTCCCAGGGAACAAAGCAAGCAGCACCCCCCCCACCACCACCTCCCCGCTGAGGGGCTGGCAAGGAAGGAGGGTGCTGGAAGCAGCCCTGCTGCGATTAGGTCATCAGGACGCAGCTGATCTCATGGGCTCCCAGGTTGCTCCCAGCACCCGCGGCCGGCCCGGATGTGATGGCCAGGAGAGTCCCAATCCCTTCCTGCATGCTCCCGGCCTGCCCCAGCTCTCCCTGCAAGGCTGGGCCTCCATTCCTATCCTCCCCAGGAGCATCCAGTTCGCCTCCCTGTGTCCTACCCCCCACCCTGGAGGGTGTCCCAGCCTCCCACCCGAGCCTGCTGGCACCTGGGGGGCTGCAAAGCAGCCAGCGCATCCATCCCATGGTAGTGGAGCTGCCTGGGGATCCTTCTACAAAGCACAGGGGAGGCCCCTCCAGAAAGGGGTGGCATGGTGCCGAATGCCCAGGCGTGCCCCTGCCACCCTCACTCACAGGCTCTAGCCCCATCTCACTGCCGCGGATGTGAATGGGGAGCGAGGGGCCCTGCTGCCTTGATGTGGGCAAGGCAGGCCCCTCATGCTGCCCCACAACGTGCACCCATCCTGCTCCCGGAGCTTGGGCCGTAATGCTCCCTTAACCTACATTGCACCGGGCTGCAGCCTTAAGCCCCGTCCTTGCTGTGTCTGCATTGCACACAAACACACACACACACACGCACGCACACACCCCGAGCATCCTCCCAACAGCCGCGCACACCAGGCTGCAGGATGTCTCCCCCACCTCCCCAATGCAGCGCATCCCTGTCAGGGCTGGAAAGGCTCCAGCCCCAGCCCCACCCTGGCCATCGGGGTCCAGCGCCCAGCTCTCCGCCCCAGGCCCTGCATCACTCCCCGCCCACCCTGCACCCTAGGGACCGAACCGATCCCTGCAAGGGCTCCTCAGAGCCCGGCTGGGCAATGCCAAGCTCCCGAGGTGGGTGCAGGGTCTGCAGTGGGGAGCAGGGTGGCAGGTGCCCCTGGTGCCCTCAGGATCACCTTGAGCCCTTGAGCTGCTCATTACCAACATGTCAAATCCCTCAAGCTGCTCGCTCAGGCTTAAAGGGGGTAGGGGCAGATTAGCCCAGGTTGCCCCCAGGCCTCTCCATCCCTCCCCCCTGCCCCCTCCCCATCCAAACTGCAGCAAAAAGGCCCAGCCCCTGCTGGTATCCACGTCGCCCCCTGCCGCCAGGCAGGCCGGACCAGCCGTCCCCAGGTTTGGGGTCTAGGGGGGCAGGCAGAGAACAAAGGGAGCTGGGCGTGCACCCCACTCACCTTGACGGGGGGCTCCACGCCGGGTCCTGTCCCTCCCTCACGGGGTCCCCGGCTCTGCAGCTCCTGCTGCCTGGACTCCCAGAGGCTGGGGCATCCGTGGCGCCCTCCCCTTCTCCCCGGCAGACAAAGCCACCCAAGTCCCGGCTTCACGTGCCCACGGGAGCCAGAAGCTGCCAGGTTACTGCAGCCGCCCAGCCCAGCCCTGGCGCCTGGGATGTGCTACCCACTGCAGTCCCCAGCAGGCGTCGGCTTCCCCATCCCCTGCAGGCGGGGGATGGATGGAGGGATGCAGGGAGGGATGGAGGAGGGATGGATGGATGGATGGATGGAGGGGTGGGCGCTGGTCACCCCAGGCACTGCCTAGGCACCCGTGGCCCCAGGCTGGGCAGAGCCATCTCCATCTGCCCGCTGGGTCCCAGCCACCAGGTCCATCCCTGCTGCTGACTGTCAGAGCGGGAGGCTGGGCTTTCCTGGCAGGTTTTACTTCCCAGCCAGCACAATAATAGGCTCTTAAAGGGCCAGCAGCCAAGCTGCAGCCTGGCTGCCACGCAGACCCTACCCGACCTGCCTTCACCTGCCCAGGGGACCCGGCTGCCCTCTGTCCCATCACCCCCCGCAGCCAGGCACTCATGGCAGGCAGACCCCCAGCAGCGCCCCCCTCCAGGAGGGAAGGGCCACGCTGCAGGCACACAGCGCCCCATCGAGGGTTTAGCCCCCTGCCCCCAGGAAAGCCACTGGGCCAAGCCCCGGGCTGCAGAACGGACCAAACCCCAATGCCCAGCCCAATGACAGGAGCTCCCATGCTGCCCAGGCCACCCCCAGCACCTGCCTGGCTTGGCTCACAGGTGTCGCTCCCCAGCACTGCCGGGCTCCAGCGCCATGGGCAGCAGCTGGCACTAGCGCTGCCAGCATCATTAACCACTGGGGGAGGCTGAGCCAGCAGAGATGGCAGGAGCCTGGGGTTGACCCACCAAGACTCCCTGCCTGGCACGGCTGTGCACACATGGGCACATCTGTGCACGCACGTGCTACTGCACA